TATGAACTGAAGACTTGCTTACGCCAGTTGCAGTTTCCAATCGTCTTGTGCTTATTTCTGGATTTTCGCCAACACGAACCAGAACGTCTTCCTCTTGTTCTGGAGTTAAAATTTCCGTACGTCCCAAAATATTAACTTTGGTCCTAAAGCCACCAGTTTCCCCTAATCGACGGTAGATGTCTCCGAATAACTTGAAATTCGGTTGCTTCCTATTGGTTTGCTGGACATAGACTGTAACTATATCTCGCATTTCCAAGTTCGAAAAAAATTATGCCTTAGCATATTAACTAATTGAAATTAACACCTAAAAATAAAAGAGCATTTCCCAAACCTATCCGGAAAAAAAAAGACCTAAATATGTAGTGGCACTAGTGTCACTATGAATATACTTATACATGTATTGTAAAATTTCCAATTCACAATCCGGCATTTTGCTGTTTAATCGCAAATATCTCGGAAACAGAGGCAACATCCACTCTCTAAGTGTCTATTAAATACACGAGTTCCTAGATTTTTCATATTATTGATGAATGTTATTATACTTGTGCTTAGGTTTCGTTTGGTCAAAAATAGTAGATTTTATAGCATCTTTAGTGCAACCATTGACTATGGTACACTTCTTTGTGTTAAATTAAAAATTTATTAAAAGTTATTAAAATGTCTAAAATCTTMATTTTTTAAGTGCATTTAAACAGTCATATCTCTACCTCTTTATCGTCCAACCTGTGAGTCTGATGGCGATTGCGCCATATAATTGCTTTAATGTGCAAAAAATTAATTGCGGGATAAACAACCCATATTTATTTTTCTGAAGTAGCGTATACAAGAATTTCGAACACGCTGTGGTCTTTACTCGCGAATTAAGGACAATTCTAACCTCAATCAACAATTCACCAAACCTAAAAATTAACAGCTGATAGCTTAGAGTCTGAGGATGCGTATTGAAGTGATCGTATTCCTACGTTACTACTTAATACTTGTTCCTATGTGTCTGGAATCCGAGCATCAATTGTCGTCCAATATCTTCCTGGAACCACTCTCTTCGCCCTTTGTTGGCGTGAGTTCTTTCAGCTTCTGCTGTATTACTGTAGCATTTCCCCTGAACTAATCGCATATTCGTAATTTCGTGTAAGAAAATTCAAAGTAAGTCCCAGTTTGACAAATTATTGTTATTGTTGACAAGGGCTATCTAGCTGTAACTATCTGTTGATGACAAAAAACATCATTGCCGCTTTGATTTTTTATCAAAAATTTTTAGAAGAGAMCTTTTTAATATAAAAAATTTTCGTAATTTGAAGTAAAGATCGTAATTTTTCTTAATGCTTAAGTATTCCAATATGCTACCAATTAAACATGGGACACTTTCAAAATAATGCTTAATAACAAAGTTTTTAAGTTAATAACAAGCTTCGAGAWATTATCGAACAAAAAATTCAATATTTTTCTCGTACCTTCCAAGTGAGCCCCTATTACCCGTTAAAAGGAATGACGCCAATTTTAAATCACCTTGTATACACAATTCCACTT